GAGCTGACCAGTCCCCCCCCCCCCACCATAGTGTTGTCTCCTAGCACATCCTTTTTCCTTTGCTGACCAGAAGTCTGGTTCCCCCAGCATGGAGTCTTCTCCTAGCGCGTCCTTTTTCCTCTGATGACCAGAAGTCCAGTTCCCCCACCATAGAGTTTCCTCCTAGCTCATCCTTTTTCCAATGCTGACCAGAAGTCCAGTTCCCCCACCATAGAGTCTCCTCCTAGCGTGACGTCTTTTTTCTTCTACCTGTCCTAACCAAAAGCCCTATCAACTGTGGAGCCAACCAGCGACAGGGAGCCGCAGCAGAGGGACGAAAGAGCCACATGCAGCTCCGGAGCTGCAGTTTGCTGAGCCCTGGCTTAAACAAAGAGAATCCAAGTTTAGTTCTAACCTAGTTTTGCANATACGTACAATGACGATGAAGTATTCTTCTTAGACTCCTGGGCTAAAGCAAACCCTTGCCTAATTCAGGGTGTGAAGAATCACAGGTGTGGTGTCAAGCCGGAGTGTTAAGTGGGTGTGGGAGCCTGACACATGGTTTTTGTGTTTTCCCCCATCATCGGAATGCTTCAAACCGGATTTCTACAACTTGGCGATTTCCAGACTACAATTCCAATCCGCCTGAACCAGCCTGGCGACCTGGGTAGAAAGTAGATATCAAAAATCTTCTAGACATCATCTGATTTCTTGTCATGTTTAGATCAGATCCTGGTTGATTGCAAAATCCTGGCTTGTCCGCAGGTACCAAGATCCTGGGTTCAAGTGACTTTTTCCTCCCTCTGGTTAGTTTATCCATACATGCGAAAGGGGTCGAATGGGATACAACTAAATTCACACAGGGGTAAATACCGAGTCCATCAAATGATACTGCATGAAAGACTGAATCGGACATCGTTTTTTTTAATCACAGCTGTTCAAGCACAGGCTTTTTACGTGTTGTATTAAGGCTTGTAATTTGAACTAGAGAATAGTAAACAAATGGGCAGAGAGGACTGGAGAATTTCTTCACCCTCGTTCCCGTTGCAAAATCGTTTCCTTGCCGAGAAACGGAAAACAGGAAACTGCAGGACCAAAATGTCCTCATTTCAAACAAGATGGATTCTTGTTTATGTTACTTGTCTTACACCCCTCGAAAACTCAAAAGGATGAAGGGAAATGAAGAAGAGGGGTTTCCAAGTGGCTCGAAGACATTCCTAAACTTAGTAGACTCCGAGGAGGAACAGCAGAAAGCGTAAATGTGACTTGAATCACAGTTTAAACCTTCTTAAACCTAACCCAATGGTTCTTGGTTCAACTGAGCCACATTTACTGAATAACCTGGAATTGGCTAGGCTGACACAACCTAAGTTGTCAGCAACCTGTGTGGCTCTGGAGCCGCATGTGGCTCTTTCATCCCCCTGCTGTGGCTCCCTGTCGCCAGTCGGTTCCACAATTGATAGAGCTTTCGATTAGGACAGGTAGAGGAAAAAGGATGCCATGCTAGGAGGAGACTCTACATTGGGGGAACCGGACTTCCAGTGGGCTCCAGAATTGAACACCACCACCCCCGCTTCCGGTTAGGAACTTTCCGGCTCTTTTTTAAGATTGCCGACCTCTGGCCTAGCCAACGGATGAGATTCACAGCAAAAACAAATGATATTATGGCTCTTGAGTGTCTCCCAAGATATGAGGTAACTATAGTTGGATGTTGGCTTAATTCCAAGTGATTCACCATCCCCACCAAACACCGAATATTGCAATTTCTCAACAGCCTTGCTTTAAGTCATCTTCGAAATTATGGATTTGTTAAGTTCAGCCTTGCAGATTTTATTCACCATCTACCAAGGCAGATGGTAACATGATCCTGGCTGGGTTTCCTAAATGACCAGCTCAACAAGATTCCACTTAATGGCTATTCCCACCCCCCACCCCACCTCCACACAC